TCTCTCTCTCTCTCTCTCTTTTTCTCCAAGTTGTAATCGTTCTTCTGGACGTTGCATATGGATTGTGAAAATATGGAAATGTTAGAGAAACGAGTTTCAGCAGGGGATCTGTTGCACTCGTGACGAATAAAAATGATAAATTATACGTCGGTACGGGATGTATTTTATAATTAGAATTGCGTGGAGAATTAGGAAAGAAGAAACGTTCTTGAAAAGAGGGAGAATTGCAAAATTCGTTGAAATCCAAGAAAAATTATTATTGAAAATATTTGAATAAAGATTCGAGATATATATTAATTTAGCTTAATTTTAGATTTTGATTTTTTGACTGAAAAATAATCACCCCTTAAACATTTTACAGGAATTTAAAATTCAATCATCGAACAAAATCTACTCCTTGAATTCCAAATAATTAATTTTACAATAATATAACATCTTAAAGAAAAACAGTAAAGTGAAAAAAAAAAAAAATAATCACAAATACAATACGTAAACAAAATACATCGATCGAATGGAACGCATACGCACACATACACATACGCGCGACTCCGTGTTACACTCGTCCCGCAATCTTCTTTACGAAGTTACGTAACAACGTGTAACTCGTACGTGTACATTTCCTAATCCGCGATGACGCGCAAGAGATAACGCCCGATCGAATATTCTGCCGAATAGGGATTAAAGATTACGATCATAATATCGATAACATCGTAACAGCAATTTGCAAACTTAATACTCGTTGCTTTCCATTCCACCGAATATATTGCTAGCGTATAATTACGATACGACGAGACGGCAAAGGAGATAAAATTATATGCGCACACTCGAGCGAGATTCTTCTGCGCATCGAGTTCCGTTAAATAGTGAATTTTTTCCTTTCCCAATATTGACCGAAATTAATCATTTGTCTTGGAACGAACGAAAGTAAAATATATTTTACCATTCTTATACGCGTTATTATTATACGATATGAGGAGGAAAGAAAGAAAAGGATCATAATTTTCCTTTTACGAGGAAGAGAAAGAGAGGGGAAGGATATAATATAATCGCGCGGACGTAGAACTTGAGAAGGTATCGCGTGCGACTATTGCAAAAGCGGATAGCGCGATACCAGCAACGTCGCGTGCACTGACGTATCTATGAATAAATAGAATTACGCTAATCGTGTAGGTTACATCATAATATACGGAACTACTCATACGCCGCCGGCGTAGATACGTGGCCTTCGCCGCGTCTTTTTCCTCGACTACGTAGGAAACTATTGTCGAGCAGGGGATCGCTCCTTCTCCAAATTCTCTCCTCTCCTTCCTCTCGTCTCCTCGATTCTCGATTTTCGTTTTTAAGTATTGAAAATCGAATTGATTTAATTTAATTTTTTTGACTTTTGGAAATTTTATAATACGAAAGTTATTTTTATTAATCCAGGCGGAGGATGTAATTTTATTTGATAATTTGAAAATTATTCGAAAATAAGGTTACGATCGAATTTTTTATTTTGGAAATTTACCAGCGAATAGAAAATTAATATTTTCTTCGATTTCTTTCTAATTCCTACTATATTTAAAAAGATATTATATCCAATTTATTTACTAATTTAATTAGAAATCTTGAAAGGCTTTAAATTTTTCATTGCACCTTCCTTGTAGGGAAAAATAAATTGAACCTCGCTCGAGATTCTTAGAAAGGATACGTAAGAATTTCTAATTTCTAAATATTACACATGATCGAGAAAAATCATTACCACGTTTAAATTATCCCTCGACATTTTTAGACACAAAATAGACGACAAACTACGATAACGTATTATTTGCACTATTTTCATTTAAATTACATAATGCACGTTTATCGAAGAAGCTCGATAATTTTACAATTT